CGCCCCCAATTTTGTAATTTCCACTAATTTTGCAAAAACCTTTGGTTTTGCAAAGGGGGTCGGGTCGGGGGGCGCTCCCGGCCGCGCGTCCCCGCTCCCGGCACATGTGCGTGGGGGCCGCGTCGCCGGGGTGAGCATGGTGTGGTCTAGGACCATTCAGGGATGCTGAGCTCCCTGCTCTCCCACCTGCAAGATGCTGCAGAAGGTGCCAAATGACATGAGTAATCGTTAAGCCAGCACCCGAGTGACTCATTAGTGACAATCACCACTGATTTATTTTTTTTTCCGGCTGATATTTTCAGCCTGCTCCCTTTTGGCCTGGTTTCTGGCTTGGGCTTGCAGTGATGGGAGCTGTGATGCTGTCAGGAGGCAACCAGGTGCTGGAACTCTTTGGAAAAAGAAAAATAATTTTAAAAAAAATTAATTTCAGGCCAGGTAATGAACTTGAGGATTTCCAGCTGCCTCTGGTGGGGCTGCATCCCTCCCACCCGGCCTGGTCCCTCTTCTGGGGCTGGATGTAGGTCAGTTGGGAGTGGGAGGTTAAGCCCGCACCCTGCCCCACATTGCTGGATCTTCTCTTAATCTTCTGCCTTAACTGGTGCATAAGCCTTGGGCCATAGGAACTGGGATTTATTCTGCCACCAGCCAGGTGCCAGCGGTAAGCCTGGATGTGTGACTAGTGTAGAGTATCCACATAAATAAAGCAAACCTCCTTCTTTCAGCGCTGTCCTTGAGCTATTGTAAAGCAGGGGGAAGGTGAAGTCTCTTTGGGGAGGTACCTGACCACTACACATCACTTTTTCTCTTCTTTTCCTCCAGCTTTGTTAAAGCTCCCAGTTTTTTTTTCCTGTTTTCCCTCTGGAACGGAGAGGCTGAGCACGTGCAGGCATGGCAGGGACGGGGGGGGGTCTCCCCCTCGTCTCTGAAGCCCATCGGGGGCTTTACTGGCCATAACATCACCTTGTTAGTCCCCTGTGGGGTTGCAGGTATCCATGCTTGCAGGATCCGTGTGGCCACCGAAGGCTAAATTTGTCTCGATGCATGTGGGTGGGCTGTTGGTGACTGCAAGGGGAAATCCTTAATTCCTGTGTGAAACTCATCAAGTCTTGGGGCTGACAAAACTAATTAGGAAGCTTCTTGATTTACATTCAGCTCCATGCAGTGCCCAATGCTGGTGAAACTTTTTATTGCAGAAAAAGCAAACAACTTCCCTCCCCTGCCGAAGTTCATCCCCTTGAAGCCATGTTTCTACCAGGACTTCGATGCGGAGATCCCGCCGCAGCACCGTACCATGGCCAAGCGGCTTTACTACCTCTGGATGCGTGAGTCGCTGGGCGGGGAAGGGCTTGAGCGGGTTTGCGTTTGCCTCTCTGAAGGCTGCTCCTCTGGAAGTCACTGGTTGAAAGAGCAGAGCGAGATCAGGGGAAGTCCTGCCCCTCCAGACCTTGGTGTCCCCTGTTAAAACCCTTTGGGGATGGGACGGGGGGGGTGGGCTTCAGCCCTTCCAGCCTCTGGGATGGAGGTGTGGCACTGGCTCAGCATCCGAGGGCCATCGGTGGCCTTGATGTCCCACTGGAGCCTGCTGCGAGGAGGACATGGCTCAGCACCCGCCCGTCCTCCTGCCCAAGAGTTTACTCCCGTCTATGTCTCGCCCAGCTGCCAGCCTTGCCCCCCAGGAGAGCTGCCAAGCCTCCGCTGGCTTTCTTTGGCCACTGGGCGAGGGAAGGACTTTCTCTGCCACCCCAAGCTCCTTGTGAGCCCTTCGGCAGCAGCCCGAGGCCGAGATTCTACTTGGACTGGAGGGCCAGGGTGCCTGCTGCCCAAAACAGGGGACCCCAGGGCTTCCCCCAAACCTGGGTCTTGCCTGTTCCTCTTGCATGCCTCTGTGTGCCGTGCTGTGCTAACAGAGCTGTCACTGTCTTCTAACTCTTAAAACTAGCCCGGTTCTCTCTTCCTTACCAACCCCGAGTGCAGAGAAGAGCCAGAGGGACAGATCACACCCTGACATACGTGGAAATGTATGTGTGCAGCTCACAGCAAGCTGGCACCACGGTTTTATTTCCTTTTAGAATAACTTAGTTACTTAATGAGGTGTTTTCCCTGACCTTTGGAAGCATATCAGTGCCCAGGGAGTGCCTTGGCCTTCAGAGGCGGGTTACAAGGAGCTGAGCTGGCACCGGAGAGGTCGGGTGTCTCTGCTTTCAGCACAGCACTGGGGTGGTGCCTCACTCTGGCTTTTGGGGGCCACGTCCCAACAGGAAGGTGACCCCAGGATAACTTCCCCCATCATGTCAGGAGGGTTAGTGTTAGCTTCTCTACGAAGTGGAGGGAAAAAACAGTTGTGGTTCCCTGGAGAAGCTGTCTTGGGGGTGTTAAATCCCCTCCCCATCTCAATCTGGCTGTTCATGCTCTGCTGAACTTAATAGAGCTCAGTTCTTGCTCCAGCCTCTCCCGCAGCACAAGCACCAGCTCTCTGAGCCAGGCTGTTGGTTTCTGTCTCCGGAGCACCACTGTGGATCATTTTCTCCCCAACTCCCACGCAAACACCCAGCCGGATGCGAGCACAGAGAGGCTGAAAGGTCCCCTCCGTGTCCTTGGGGACTTCAGGGAGCAGTAAGAGCCCTGTCAGCCTGGCCAACTGAGCTCCCTTTCTTGCCAGCTGCAGCTTTCTTGCAGGCGGCGGTGGGAGGGTTTTAATTCTCGTCGAAATAATGAATCATTCTCAAAAATCGGAGGCGTCAGAATGCAGATGAGCCTTCTCGGCTTTGTCCTGTGTCTGCTATGCTGGGCTTCATAGTAGTAGCCCTTGTGTCGCTTAACCCCGAGCAGGGGTGGGAGAGCAAACACGCCACCCCTGACTTCAGCTCTCAACTCAGGGGGTGCTAGCTCAGGGAACTCTCGCGCAAGCTCCTTCAGTGAAACTGGAGCTGGAGGCAAGCAAAACAGCTTCACTTTGATTCTACCACTTTCTTTCTGTTGGTGGAGACGTGCCCTGGCTCACAGGCCACGGGAGGATACGGCTCTTCCCTGTCCTCCGAGTCCCATGAGCCTTGGACCTGCTTAAGACATTACAACTCTGAACGATATTTTTTTTTTCCTTGCTCCTCAGCTGAGGTTAGACCCTCTTTGGCTGAGCGGGCCTGGGGATGCTGCCTGGACTCAGGCAGCTTAATTTAAGTGAAGGTTAATGCACCGCTGGCCAAACCCGCTGGAGGTCAGCCCTGTGACGGTGTCCCTGGGGTCGGGGTCTTTCGTATCATGCCGATGTCCTCGCGTACGCGCTACTCTGCTCCCTCTGTGTGTGTGTGTGTGTTTGCAGTGAACAGCATCACCTTGGCGGTGAATCTCGTTGGCTGCCTCGCATGGCTGATTGGAGGCGGTGGAGCTGTTAATTTTGGACTGGCAATTCTCTGGCTCATTCTCTTTACGCCCTGCTCCTATGTCTGCTGGTTTAGACCTATTTACAAAGCTTTCAAGTAAGTGGTCACACCTGAGCCTGGCTTCTCATGGTCATTTTTTTGTTTTCCTTTCTAAACAGTTAGTGCTTAGCTTGGGGCATTGCCTGAGTAGTTGGGGGAATTCCTGCTCTCTCTGTCCAGCCCTGTAGCTTTACTTTCTAACCTTCAAAGCAAAGCTGTTTGGGATTTCCTGAGGGCCAAAACCCCAACCATGCCATATAGAGACACCCTACGGTGCGGCTCTGCACAGCGTCAGGGGGAGTGGTGAGGATGCATTGGGGTGCCAGCTTTCCCTCCCCTCCCACCCATCCTCAAGGTTTATTTATATTTTTCCATGAGACCTTGAGGTGCTTATATTGATTATCCACACTGCTGAGGTTGATCCCCAGTGCGGTATCCCCAGATTTGGAAAACTGGGGGTGTATTTCTTCCCCATGCAGGAAGGTTGAGTCTGATGGTGGGGTGGTGTGAGCTGAGAGCCGTGTCCGAGCACAGATGTCCTCTCACCTGAGGAAGGGTCTGGTGCCCCATGGCTTTTCCAGGTGCCCCTCCAGCACCTTCAGCCTCTGGCAGTGTCTCCCTTGTGTGTAGTTTTGCTCCGGTGCCTGCTGTCTGCAGGCAGCTCCGCTTCTCCCCACCCTCTCGCTAAACCACAGCTGCTTCTGCCCCATCTGAGACGTGGGAGCACCTCCCTTCCCTCGCAGTGCAGCAGGGATGGAGGCGCAGGGAGTGACCGAGCCTTCTCTTGCAGGACAGACAGTTCCTTCAGCTTCATGGCCTTCTTCTTCACCTTCATGGCCCAGCTGGTGATCAGCATCATCCAGGCGGTGGGAATCCCGGGCTGGGGCGTCTGGTAAGGAAGATGCTGCTCTCATGTTAACATCCTCAGTGCTTCCGTAGCTTCTCTCCTCGGGGAAGATAGTTTGGGGAGCTGGGAGGGCTGCAGGGGAGGGCTGCTGGCAGACTGCAGTGCACAGAACCAGCCGGGAAAGACCTGGGCTGCTGAACGGACTGGTTGTTTTCATCTCCTTGCAGCGGCTGGATTGCAGCAATTTCCTTCTTTGGGACCAACGTGGGGTCGGCTGTGGTGATGCTGATCCCCACCGTCCTGTTCACGGGGATGGCTGTCTTCTCCTTCATCGCTCTCACCATGGTACGGGAGGAGAGGGGGGTGCATGTCACTTCGGGGAGCCCTGGCTGCTCCCCTGGAGGGTCAGCGCGAGCTGCGGTCACTCAGCATCTCTGGATTTTCTCTTTCCAACCTGCTCCAGGTGCATAAGTTTTACCGGGGGAGCGGCGGGAGCTTCAGCAAAGCCCAGGAGGAGTGGACCACAGGGGCGTGGAAGAACCCCCACGTGCAGCAGGCAGCACAGAACGCAGCGATGGGGGCGGCGCAGGGGGCCATGATGCAGCACGAGACGCAGTACTCAGCCACCCCAAACTACACCTACTCCAATGAGATGTGAGCAGCGGGACTCTGTCCTCGGGCAAAAGATCTGGGGGGGAAGGGAGGAGGAGGAAGGCTGAGCCGAGTTTCTGCAGCTATTTCAGAAAGTTGGAGTGTACCATAATGGTTCTTCTTTTCCTGTTCTTTGTAACGAGATCACTTGGGATTTTTTCATTTCCCACCCCCCTCCCTGTTATTGTCTTATCTCTTCTTTTCTCTTCTATTTTTTCATTTCAAAGAGGCCATGAGTTGACTTTCAGGGCTCTTGTTTGTGGTAGTAAGTGTACATTCACGTGTCTTCTTTTTCCCTGTGCAATAGTGTATGGTGGTGGTTTTTTAATTCCTGTGGTGATAGGTGTACGTTAGAACTACATCAGCCAAAAGCCCCCCACCCTCCAAAAGTGAAAGATAAAAATAGCAACCAGCACCCACCTCCCCTCTGGGAAGAAGCCCTGATCCACGGGTTTCCAGCGTGTGTGAGTTTTTTCTTTCAGTTGGTAGTGTCCAGCCACTTGCCACTGTCTCAGCAAGGGCAAGCAATCCCAGGAATTCTCCCTTTTCTTTTGTTTTTTACATAGCAGGTGGCTGGCTGACTTAGCATTTTTAAAAAGGAAAACCAGAGGGGGAAAAAAAAAAAAAAAGAAACCCTAAGTCCTGCTGTTGATATGGTGGAAGCCAAGAGATTCCTCATCTACACCCTGGCTCAGGATCTACAACTTCTCTCAGTGCGTGGTGTTGTAAATGAATAGTTTTACATTTTGACATGGAAGACCAGTATTTGTGCGTGAGCGGGCAGGAGCCCCGGCGCACTGTGTGTGTGTGCGTGTGTGTTGGGGAGCAAGGACAGGTTTTCCCTGTGGGATACAGCCATCCCATTCCAGGTTCTGCATTCTGAGTCTGTTTTTTTAAAAAGGCTTCTATTTTGAAAAGCAGCTATGAAATGGGCAGAGTGTTTTTGAGAGGACCTGTTCTTGGGTGAGGCTCCAGGTCCAATCCTGCCACCCCGTATGCCAGCACAGACAGCTGCTCTCACTGACTGAGGCCAGGATTTGTCTCTGGTAGCTTTTGAGGTGTGCGCTAGTTTAAGGCTCTTTAGGAAACCTCCGGGCTGGTGAGAAGGATTCCTGTTCAGTTGCGCTTCTAAAAAGCGCAGTGAAACGTGGCAGTGTATTTTCCTGGTGCAGAAATCCCTGCTGTTCTCAGCCCTGATTCCCTGCCCAGTTTGGGGAGGTCAGGCTTTAAATAATGATTGTGCACCTTGGTGGGAGGCAGCTGAGCTCAAACACCTCCGGGGCTGTGGCAGCTGGGGAAGGTGACTGCTGGATCCTGGAAAAGATTGGTTCATAAATGGGAGCTGACGGACACTGTGGGGCAGGAGTAGGGATTTTTTTCTTCTCAGAGATGCTTTTCAGACTCTAAATGCACTTTAAATAAGCCAAATTTTTCTCCAAGTCCTAGAAAAGCAGCCCAAACAGAATCCAATCTGGCCCCTGGGCTCAGCTGCAGGTAATGAGCTGAGCGTGCCACTGCTCCTGCCCGCAGCTAGCCAGAGCTGTGTGGGTCCCCAGCCCCTCTAGCTGTCTGGTGATGCTTGTCCGCGACTCCTACCCACGAGAATCACCCCAGACAGGACCTTCTCTTCTTTCTAAGGGTAGCACTTCAGTCCTTTGGCAGTAGGCAGTCGTCTCTTGACAAGTCTAAAATGCAGCTCACGATACAGCACCTGTCTGTGTGTGTGTGTATATATACGTGTATAAAATGTAAGGAGAAAGTAATCCTCTGCTGAGCCTGTTATGTACTTAATCAGGTTTATTGTGCAATTCATTTCTAGCTAGCCTAAGACTTACTATGCCAAATCACGTGCTCTGTCATCCATGTCTGAGAAATGATGAATTAAGTGACTTCACCTTTTGCATTTCCAATAAGATGCATAAATAATAACTGTAACAAGCTGTAACTAACAGACATCGCTTCAGCATCTAACCCTCCTCGCCGGTGTGTCTCTTGAACGCGTGAGCGTGAGTGCTGACCATAGAAACATGTCCCCGGGGCTCAGCCTCCCTGCCCTGCCGGCAGAAGCTGGGCAGCGTATTGCACCTCTGCTCTCGACACAGTTATTTTCAATCTGGGACTGCGTTAGGCTGGGACTGCTGTGGGTGTGAAGCCCCCAGACTGGGAGGACACGCGCTGGGTGTTTCTGTGGCTGAGTGAGGAGGCAGCTCGGGGGTAGAGCACGCTGAGGATCTTGCTGATGGCCTCTGCTGCCTTAGCGAGGTCCTGCTGTTGCTGTTCACCTCCTGGAGTCAGTGAGGCGGAACACTGCCTCTTGCCTTTCTGGCTCCTTCTTTGTGGCTGCCAACACCAGGGGGATGTCCAGAGAGCATCCGGGGAAGGGCTGGAGACCACCCACCACGTGCTGCCCCTGATCTGCTGCACTCCTGCTTCAGACAACAAGCCGGCGGTGCTTGTA